TGCTATAGGCTCACTGCTATAGGCACTCTGCTGTAGGCTCACTGCTATAGGCTCACTGCTATAGGCACTCTGCTGTAGGCTCACTACTGTAGGCTCACTGCTGTAGTGCCCTTGGACTGCCTTAGTAAATGGGTAAGAACAGTATTCAAAAAGTACAGACAGTCCCCGAGTTAAACGTGGCAGAACTTGTACTTATGAACGGACTGCCATACAGCTTATTATTATGTACTATATTATTATTTTTCGACTTGACACTGCCTACAAATTCAAGTTAAACACAGACTTAGGCAACAGATCTCGTCGGTAACCTGGGGACGCGTGTTTACCCCTTTTTAAATAAAAGGCATTTTACTGCAGTGCATAAAGGTGGATCCATACCACTTTGCCCAAGAAGATCACGCTTCCCGCTGCCAGAGTGCAGGTGAGGCCGACCAGCTTGGCGAATAGGTTTGACAGAGACAGGAACTCTGGGAACTCCAGGCCTGATATTATGGTTCTCACCTCTGGCAAACCAGAGCCTTAGGAGGAGACAAAGGAAGCAGGGTATGGGAATTTGATAATACTTCACTTCAGGGGGCAAAAATGCTATTACTTATGCTCTTACTTATGTATTAATTAGCCACAAACTAAGTCTTAGTTACATACTGATCTTATGTTAATTAATGAATGATGCGTCTTTTATCTCGAGCAGTTACTGTATTTGTTACTATATCTGTTAATTCTCTAAACCTTTATTGAAGGAACAAGTTATGAATAACAAGTGAAATACTGACCTGACGTTTGGTCAGTGAATTGTGACGCATCTTTTATTCTGAATAGTTACTGCATCTGTTCATGATTTGTACTACGGTAGTAATGGAGTTATTACTAAGTACTTGTGCCCCATGAAGTAAAGTGTTAGCGGGAATTTAACATTGACATCTACTGTAAACCCCCCCCCCGGCCGACCTGCAGAGTTAGGGCTGATGCTGTGCGTGAAGGCAGTGGACAGGGTGCACAGGACAGTGGGGTACAAACTCCAGCAGAGGAACTGCAGCAGCAGGTGTCCCTGCAGCTGCTCGTATAGCCAGCGATGCGCTGGGAGACACAGGGGGACACAGACGGGTTACATCCTCATCCCTGCGGGTTCCATGTGTGTGAAGCACAGGCCTTCGTCTGCACCTCTGTGGTCTCACATCTGCGCCGCTCTGTGCAGACGGACAGCATGTGTGTGTGCAGGTCTGTGGATTTGTGAGTGTGTTTCCCTTCACCTTCCAGCAGCTTGGCCACATTCAGGTCTATAAGGAAGCTCATGAGAGCTGTGAGGATCCCCAGGGCACCAAAGCAGTACCAGTCAAACCCCCCCAGAGTGCCGAGGACACCCCAGAGTCTGTATAAGGAAGCTGTATAAGAACAGAACAGCATCAGTGCCGTTTTGGCGGCAAATCCTACATGTGCTACAAATATCAGTACAATCAATGTAACATTTGGATTACTACAGGTATGGTAACCAATATATAAAATATGTCATTACTTAATATATACTTTTATATATAAAGCAAATAACATGCAACATTTGTCATGAAATACAGAGAGTAACCGCAGATTCATTCAAATTGAAAGAGAGTCGGAAGAAAGGAATTTCAGCAATAAGTTCAGACCCAAAACACATTTTAAGAAAAATAATATCGTTCAGAAAACTTGAGCGTAATGTAATCACAGAAACGGATTACTGGAGAACTCAAATACAGCAAATTCAATTTAAAAGTCTCCGGACCTTTGATCCTGGCACGAGCATGTTGCCATGGTTTCCACAAGTTCTTGCCAGTGAACGGAAGCCTCTCATTGGTGGGTGCAGTCCACTGATGAGCGGAGTCCTCCTCTCCATCACTTTTATTTGTTACTGAGTGAATATTGACTCCTCTGGTGAGACTGACTCCCTCCATCTGTGTAGAGCAAATTATTTTTATTAGAAAGCAGCGACTCCACTAAAGCTGCATGCGCAAATTTGTTTTTATGTACATGTTGATCATCACACACCTAAAATAATTCAGTTTATTAAAAGAACCAAGTTTTTGTAAAATGCACATGAAGCAATCATGATTATACGGCCATTATTATTTTCAATTTGAGCATGTTTCATATAAATGCGATCAGACGTTTTTTCCATGTATAATTGAAGAGCAAATTTACAAAATTCACTCCGTTTTGGTTGCCATGTCATGCAGACGTCCTGACAGTGAGGTTCTCCTTTCCAAAACCAAAGATGGACTGAGTCAGTTTTGGAAATTTGCTCTTCAATCAGTCCAAAGGAATGGTAAAGGACAGAAACTAATATTCGTACAGGAAAAATGAAAACAAATAAACTATTAATTTTGTGTATATATAATTAAACACAGAATATATATACATAATGTATATTCTATTTTAATGATAAAGCACATCATGCATACTAACACTGTAGGCATTTAAGAACATAAGAACATAAGAACTATACAAACGAGAGGAGGCCATTCGGCCCATTGAGCTCGCTTGGGGAGAACTTAACTAATAGCTCAGAGTTGTTAAAATCTTATCTAGCTCTGATTTAAAGGAACCCAAGGATTCAGCTTGCACTACGTTATCAGGAAGACTATTCCATACTCTGACTACACGCTGTGTAAAGAAGTGCTTCCTTAAATCCAGTTTGAAATGTTCTCCCGCTAATTTCCACCTATGGCCACGAGTTCTTGTATTTGAATTTCATAGCCTAATATAAATATATAGATGTAACCATTGGCTTTGAGAAACTCCAAATCTTACCTTATACCCTGTCAGCCTCTCTCTTTACAAGGGCGCTCCTGCATTTGTCCACACAGGTGAGACCAGTGCGGAGCGGCATGGCGCTGAGATGAGAAGGTTCCGGTAAGGGCCGAGCCTCAGCTGCCCTTCAGGTGGGAGGCGTGTGCCGCGGGGAAGGGCAGGGGGGGGGGGTTCCTGACACAGGCCTCTCAGCTCTTGGGTATGTAGTGTTATCGTTCTTAAGATCTTCATACATTTATTTATAAAAGAGGGGCAATTACTAACATAAGGGCATTTTGGAGAAATGTTATCTTCTATGCCTTAAAACTACGATCATGTAAAAATGATTTACCCTATGATTTACCCTATGATTTACCCTATGATTTACCCTACCTCCTCCACTCCCCATAAGGTCAAAGCAATCAGGTGGGTGCTGTAGGCACACATACTTCCAGCCTCAAACCCATCTCCCACACACTTCCACTGTTAATGATTTCCTTTTTCATTCCCTCAAGCTGCACTTTTTCTGTGGTTCCAATTAACACATGAACTATTAATACATTTCTAGTTTTGTTTTGCTGGGTTAGTCATTTACAACCTTCCTCCAAGGTCCCTAAACTGGTCACCATGGTAACCTGTCAGAGAGGAATATATTAGCCTTGCATTCTGTCTAATGTTAACCTGCAAATATCATATACCAAATAAATAAAAATGCATTGTTCTTTTTCTGCAGACATACAAACTACTTATTTTCAATATACAGAAGATAGATACTGACATGGTATATTATTTCTTTCACAAATGCAGTGAATTTTATTGTGAAAATGTGTTTAAAATAATGATAATATAAAAGTATTAAAAAAGTAAAATTTGTATAATTATAATATTTATAAAATAACAATTATACCATTTTGTTACAATGTATATATGTATGGTTTGCTTTTAATAAAAAGGCTGTTACATATTAACTTCCCCCAGTGTTCTTAATGTGAGATGTACACCATGATTATTAAGAGCTCCTTGCAATTCCAGAATTCATATTGTTTCCACAAAAGTACATGAAGAACACATCTGCGATTTAAAGAAAAAAAGTAAAAGATCACATGTAGTTATGTCTTTTGTTGAATATATTTCTCAGTGAGAAAGCATAAAATTTTTAGAAATAAATGGGTACAAATTACACAGTAATAACTACTAAGCAAAAACACTAAAAAGGTACAGAGCAACTGACCAATTATTATCACGAGTGAATATGAAATCGTGTTTGACAATGCCATTTCCTTCTGGTGTTAGTACTGTGGTGACACACTCCCTATGGGAGGAAAAAAACATTAAGAATTTCAGACTTCTTCCCAACAGTGTGATAGATGGTGAACATTCCAGAAAACACAAAGAAAGCTGCAACGTGTTCATGTGAACGTGGAGACACAGGTCCCTATTTACATCACATGAGGCGGGTAAAATGCCACTGAGAATTTCCACATAAACATCGTAGATTTACAGAGACTGTCATCACTGCATTACTTTGAGAACTCCTAGCATTCAAATAATTTACAACAGATATTCAACACCAAATTACAAAGTACATACTGGTCAACATATCTGTTTTTTTCTGTTAAATTATAGTAAGTCTGAGATTTTATCTCAGCTTCAACACTGATCTTGTTGATAAAATATTAAGCTGTATATGACACATTTGGTCATGTTTAGTTCAGGTAGGGATGGGTAGAAGCAGCTGATAGTTTCATGATTTGCTCAATAAGTTAATTAACTCCATAGAGTTTTACTTCTGTCTCTCACTGAGTTATTTTGGTTCTTTCTAACAGTCTGTAAGTAACAATCTTGTCAGCTCGGGTGTGACTTCATGCAGAGCACTGGTGGAGTGGTCCTTGCTTTCTGATTGCCACGTAGTATTGCAGTAACAAAAGGCTTTATGGAGGTTCTGAATACTTTGTAATACTTTAGAGCATCAAAATGAGGCTTAAGAATTTCAGAAGTAAATGAGATTTTGCTTTGGCCTCTGGAAACTTTCACTTCTATACATGGGTAATCAGTATATGATAGTTATTTGGGCTGCTCTTCATTAAAATGTCTGATGAATAAAAGACTTAACAAAAGACCATAATCACACAGTGTACTGTCTGCTTCTCTACTCCTCTGGACACAATGTACACTTGTTGTGTGGACCTCAGTTTAATTCCAGATCGCATGTGCTTCACGTCGTCTCTGCTCTTGGGGCCTTTGCCCTTCATAGTGATTGACCAATGTTACTGCAATGTCACCCTCAGAGCCTCTGTGTTTTCTTTAAACCACTCTCAGTACCTATATACAGTACATTTTAGAGCTGGTAATCTCTCTCTGTCTCTGTCTCTCTGTCTCTCTTTCTCTCTCTCTCTCTCTCTCTCTCACACACACACACAAATGTACTCTCATGTTGCAAAGAATAGAAGCTCACTCATGCTCACACATGCCACGCCCGGCTGTGTGCAGGGGCTGTGAGTGGCTGTACTGGATTTAGATGATTACTGAAGTACTTTAAAGTTCAGCCTGATTGTAGCACAGAGCACTGTGTTCCCTGTGTGACAAAAAATACTGACAGTTCAACAGACAGGCTGCAGGACTGTTTCTGCACACAACCTACATGTTTCTGACAAATAGGAAGGTGTTCAACAGGTCCTGTTTAATGAAAAGACGAGCACCAGCAAATGTCAAATATCCTAAATGAAATACTGCCACAGAATGAGAATGCACAATAAGGGTGACTTCTGTGATTGTGGGTAGTCCAACACTGGATGCTTGTTGACAATTCCATCAGCCTTCCTGCAAGATTTTGTAAGTGCAGTAATAACATAAAAATGTGAAGAACAGATGATTAACAGGTCAGCGTGTGGAGCTCCTGTGTGTCACACGCTGACCAGGGAAGCAGAAGCGAGGAGACGGAATATCAGGGAAAACGTGGGGTTTATTGGGAGCGAACACGGAGGAACCGACAACAAGCAGATCGACATTACAATGACCGGACTGGGGAAACAAACGGAAACGCGGACTAAATACAATGGACTAATTGACAACGATCGAGAACAGCTGATAAACACGGGGAATCCACACAGGGTTAACGAGGGGGCGTGGCACACGAAAGGAGCGGGCAATCGGGGCAGGACACTGTGTAGCTGCGGCATAAACAATAATGGGGCAGGTCAAGCTCTGATTAAACACCAAGTCAGAACCGAGATAAGTCAAGCCTTCATTAAATGCCTGTGGCCTGTACTATGAAGCGGGGTTACTGGCTTATCGGGGTAGCTTGCCGGATTTAAGGTACCACACTTTAAATGGACTTCATATTCGTTCACTTACATTTTGCCCAGACCACCTTAAATCTGACAACTCCTATTCCACAGCTGAGGAGCTCTATAGGAGAGAAAGCTCTGCATCCTGCCGTGGTTCTTTCTACCCTGAGTACTAACAAGTAACCTGCTCCTTGAGATGGAAGAAAGCGAGGAGGGCTGTAAGAGAGCAGTTCATCTCTAAGAGATTCTGTCTCCTGACAAATGCTGCATAATCCGTCCTTTCCAGTGTCCTCCCTCCCCTGCCAACCCCATAACATTCTTTCCATCCTTTTATTTTGGTCCTACTGTCATTACAATACCCCCCCCACCCCAGACTGTTTTACAAGTTCCTCAAGAATGGAAATGACACCATCGCCCTCATTCAACATCATTTTTTCTTTTTTTGGTACTTATCTGTTTTATATGCAGAATTTGTCAGCCAGTGTCTTCTGACGATTTAGCATTTCTGCCCTGGATGTTCTAAACCATTAACTAAATTGGGGAAATGCAGACAGAGGGATGTAACATAGCGAGAGGTTGATAAACATGTGGTGTAGGGGCTGTGTGGTGCTTGGAATGCAGAACCTGCCAACTGCTGAACCCTGTGCACTCCTCTCTCTGCTTCCTCTTCCTCTCTCTGCTTCCTCTTCCTCTGCTTCTGAGTGTCTTTGTGAGGACACTCTCATCCACTTCAAGTCCTCATTGCACAGAACTTTTCCAGTCACTAACAGTCTCTCTTTTCCTTCTTACGTGATAAATATAGCACTCAGATATCCTAAAAAACTCCCAGAGTACACACACACACACACACACACATTCTCTCTCTCCCCTACTCAACTCACAAATATTGGTTAGAAGCTCATCAGTCACGCAGACAATATAAAAGCATGACAGACTGACCTTGTCTGAGGAAGCACTGTAAGCTAAGGGAGAGGGACAGACACAGCAACAGAGACAAGATAAAAAGAGAAGGAGAACCGGACATAGAGAACAGAAAGAGGGAGGCCGTGAAGAGAGCCCTGGGGAACAAAGAGAGGACTTACCAAGTCCTGTGGAGTTTATTCTGAGCTGAGTCTTCTTGGAGCCATTTGGACCAGATCAGAAAAGCGTCATCTGAGACTGAACTCCTCTCTACCTCAGCTGCCTGTCACCTCCACTGCAAAACATCTCTTCTTCACAAGGACCACAGGTGGACTGCGTCTTTAAACCATTACTGCAACCAACTCCTCTGTTTTCCGATCGCAGCACAGTTTCTACCCGGCATCGTCCACCTTTTCTTTTTCCTTGTCATCGTCTACCACAACGTACATGGAGAAGGGCAGAGGAATCTTTGCTGGGGACTTTGGGTCTTTCATGCGGCCACCTCATGAGGACACGCTGGGTTCGTGTTGTTGATTATTTCAGGGTTTGTTAAATTCTGTTTGGGTTTGTCATGCACATGTAACACAGGACTGAGGCCACTAATCCCAAGAGCAAGTCTGTATTGTAGTGAATATTAACAGGATGTCATGACATATGTTTTAATGCTGCCGTAAGTGAAGGTTGAGAGGACTCAATTTCATGGCAATGAAAAGATTGACGTCAGTTAAATACTGGAAATATTTACTAAATGTAAGAGAGACAAGTGCTATCTGTTACTGTGGCTAAGTAGTATGTAACAGTGGCTGAGTATTATAGCGTTTTGATACATATTCCAGAGTGCTGGTGAGGGGAACAGCCTTGGAGGGACTAGTCGTTTTAGCAAGCTAGGAAATGCTTGGTAGCAGGCCAGTGCAATGACCTCACCTATGGGGAATTACCAGAGGGACGCCTGGCTTTCGCTTAAGCGGGCTGTTGCCTAGTGACCAGTGATACACAGTCCTGCATTGACACATAGGGGAAGAAGAAGGCAGCAGCAAGATATTTACTCAGACATGGTCCTTAAAGGTATATTTACTGCCAGGAGGGGAAAAATAATAAATTGACTGTAGATAATTTTGCTTTAGAGTATTTTGCTTATCACATAAATAGTTCTCTAGTTCCACTATCCTTTCTTAATTTCCATGCTAGCCTGTAGCTCGGTAGCTACATTTAACCAAACTGAAAAATCCTTTCTAATGTCAGGTTTAAGGATGGAAGCAACAAGGTTTGAAAACCCTCTATGCTAATGAATATTGTGATTTATGAATGAGTGACTGTCTGGTATAACCCAATATGAGCCAAAAATATAACGAGAAGCTGGCTAAACTGGTCAATAAATCACAGCGCAAGTTTTTCCAGTATCATTTCTTCCAGTAAACCTTGAAACAGGTGCATTTTATGTGCTTACATATGAGGCAGACATCATAAGGGAAATGCCAAAAGGACGAGGAACAGCGATAACACAAGCGTTGCTGGTCGCCCCCTACAGGCTGCATGGGAACTGCAGGAAAGATCAGGACTGTGGGAGACACATACTTGTTCACTGTAGATGTCAGTGCCTTCTCACCAGAGGATGTCATCGTTACGACCTCAAACAACCAGGTTGAGGTCCGGGCCGAGAAGGTGAGCAGGTTCCATTTACAGTACTTTTAGTTCCATTTACAGTACTTTTAGTTCCATTAGCAGGCAATATATGTCCATCAGAGGTGGACATTTCAGGTCCAGAAAATAAAAATCAAGACTACGATTATGTTTCAACCAACCAGTTGAGTTTAAAGAGTCACAGTCACAGAGTACTCAACTGGTTGGTTGAAACAAAATCTGGATTTTTACTTTCTGGACCTGAACGATCCACCTCCGATGATCATCATGAGCAATGTGTAAATCTATACAGTATATTTGTTCAGCAGTTGACATAGGCATGACATAATTATGTGTTAGACTGTAATTTTCAGGGTTTAGGTACAGTGGTTTCACCAATCATGGATGTAGCACGGAGGAAGTGAGGTCTAGAGATGTGACTCCAAGTGCAAGGGGAATGACAGACTGTCGATAAGGAGATTCTGGAGAGAGACCATATTTCTGGGATTGTTATAAGGTTCTGAATAAAGTAAAAGTCTCTTCCATTGTCTAAATGCATAAAATGGAGAAAAAAATTCATTAATAGCTGTTTGTAAAGCATATACCTCTTTTTTGTTTATTTTATTGCCATTCATGGTCCTTTCTTTCTGTTAATCTTTCATCCAAAAACATCCCCCTCCCCCTCTGATTCTCCATCCTCTCTTCATTCATCACCCTTTTCACTTTGACCCAGCTGGCAGCAGATGGCACAGTGATGGACACCTTCACTCACAAGTGCCAGCTACCAGAAGACGTAGACCCCACCTCAGTGATGTCATCACTTGGCAGTGATGGTGCCCTGACGGTTAAGGCCCGGGCCAAACATGAGCCTATTCAGACCTTTCGCACTGAGACGAAAATCTGAAGTCCTGCTTCGTTTTCACATCACACCTTCCTGAAGCCCCTGTACTTATTAATTCCCTCTTCACACTAAGCCCACTCCCAGTGTCCTGCTTGCTTATCATCATCTTCTACAGCAAATCGTCGTACTACTGCCTGGTCCTTGTCTCATATACATACATGATTCATATACGATTACAAACGTTAGCCTGGAGATCCTCACTCTGGCTGGCTTTACTATTTTTTATTGGTCACTGTTAATGAAGCTAGATATGCTCAGATATAAAAGTCACAATAAGGATATCTGGAGAGAAATGCTCAAGCGTAATACAGCATCTGCTTCCGTGGATTAAGGCCTTACTCATGACGGCGCATAAAAACATGTAGCTTCTTCACAGAAAGTAACATTTAAAAAGTTTATTAGTTGCATGTTACTACAGAGTAGACCAAGGTCAGACCAGAAGTGGCCCCTGTTTTCACCCTTGGTGCTCCTGCAATATTTAAGGACTTTGTTGATCCAAATCAGTAAAGGTGTGTTCCGCAGAACTGAAATAAAGAAAAAGCCATAGATTACCCATGAATATAACTTGTTTTCTGTAAACAAAAAGTTTGTTTCTCTTTGGAACAATTCAGTCCTCATATTAAACAGCTGAAAATATTGGTCATTGTCAGACATCAAGACCCCATCTGTGCGCATTTGCTTGTATGTGTATGACAGTAATTCTGCCTGTGTGTGTGTGTTTGGGGGGCAGGAAGACCACATTCCTGAGCAGTCTGCTTTTTATTAGCTGTCATTTTGAGAAACCTATATCGCACATTGTCAGCAAGCTTCTCCCGGTTCTCCATCTTCGTACCAACTCCTATTAATAGGCCTTGTATCATCCGCTCACCACGTCCACCAACACCCTTTTCTACCACTCAGATGTTACATGTTACAAGGCAGGAGTGAAATAAAAATGCATTATATACTTTGCGCAAATTAAAAAAAAGCTCTATAAATCTCCTCCAGGAACATGATGCAAAAGGACTCCGGAATGGCGGGGAACAGGGCAGGACAGTTTAGGTGGCGCTGAGCTGAGCACCCAGCCAGTGCAGGTCAAAGGCCATGTGCTGCCAAACGATTAGCTTTGCTACGCTGCTGCCTTTCATTAGACGGCACTGGGCAGCCACCTGTATGTCGCCTGAAGGGTCGACCAGCACTGCACTTAACATGAAACACCGGATTTTCACCTTTACTATGCATCTTTGGATCTATGAAATTACCGAGTTACAAAATAGAAAAAAGTCAGTACGGTGGGAATTAACAGAACTCACATTTTTATCATTGTTTCGTGTATATTTAGCTTATAACAAGGTAATTTAGCTTATTTCTGCATTAACAGTGAGTGATATACCAGCGATCAGAACCTATACCTGAATTTTACATAAGTACACCAGATGAGTAATTGTGGAGTTCAAATGTATTTATCCTTTAGATATAATACATTCACATATCGTCCAGTGTAGCTCAGCCTTGAGCTTTGTGCAGCCTGGGATTGGCTCCTGGGCCCCACATGAGACTTCCCAGGATAAGCGGGTAGAAGATGGTCTAATGTTAAGTGTCCTGATAATATCATATATTGGCAAAATGAGAAAGTGCTGGAGAAACTGGGCAAAAATGTTCCACATTGAGACCATAAAAACACCAAATTATTGGGGAAAGCTTTCAGTTTCTATCAAAATCCGGACATTTGTAATCCTGGCTTCATTACAGGGACACACAGACGACAGTCATTGATATAACTGAAAACACGTTCTAAAAATAGCCCCACCAAGGCTAACCATGAATGTAGAAGAAACCATTACTGTGTAAGACTGCGAAGCATTATTAATAGCAATTTCATTTTGCAAAACATTACATATTCAGCGGGCAAACAATGGATTATGCATGCACAAACACACACACGTACTTCATACTTATGTTCATTAAAATGCCCATAAATAACGATAGTATTCCTGCGTGAATGCCAAATCTATGTTAAACTACGACATTTAAACAAATAACACGGTAACTTAATAGCGCCATGAAAAAGTCACAAGTCAACGAAGGAACTAGCAATAGTTAACACTATGCAATCTGTCCTGGTACTGAAATACATAGTCCTTAACTTGTAATTAAATCACATTCCCCAGAGCTGGGTAAAGCGATCCGCGACGTGCTGCATTTCGAACGTCACTATTGCGTAACAGGAACCGCGCATGCGTACAGATAGACTACCGGCCACTATCAATCGATCAGAGAGAGGAAGATGGCGGTGAATCGAGCCTGAGAAGAGAGATCGATCACCGAATCACTCGATTGGACGGAACGAACGGCGTGGGAATACAATTATTTAAAAAGCCATCCTATCGACATCTGGAAGCGTCTTTTCCCAGTTACTGGGATATTACCAGGTACGTATAAATAGTCTGCAGTACGCACTAATAAATATCCAGAGTAGGACAGGGCTTAAAGGACGAATTTGGGGGCGCAGGCCTCTGCACGCCCGCCATCTTGCCTGTCCGAATCTGGCTTGACTAGGCACGGTGAATTAATCCCGGATAGAGTGAATATAGGGATAGAGGATACATAATCAATACGCTGCATCGTCAACCAAATACTCCTTGGAAGAAATGTTGATTTGTCTTTTTTGTTTCGTGCCCGTTTCAGTTAGCATGCCGAATTTTGCTTTAGAGTATTTTGCTAGTTAATCACATAAATAGTTTTCTAGTTCCACCGCCCTCTCCTGATTGCCACGCTAGTCTATAGCTAGGTAGCTAAATGATGTTTTTCTTCTGCACCAACATAAATTCGTACAACACTAATTAAACTAACCATTGAGCAAACTGACACCCTACGATCAAAATGTTTGTGTGTCGCATTGTTTCTTTAATTTTATTCACAGATAATGCAGTTGTAATGTATCTACTGCAACTACATAAACATGAATCCACTTTTATGAAACTTTAAATATTTACCATTAGAATACCTGTGATATAGCTGGAAACTTTACACAACTAATTAGATATAGGGGGAGAAAAAAACCTTTCCGCAGGCTATGTGGAACAGAAAAAAACACTTTTGCCCAAGTTAAACACACATTTTTGGTACTGTGTGTTACAGTGTTAGATTGGATTATTATGCATGTTAATGAATAATATAAAAATCGTTTGTCTAAGTGTCATTTGTTAAATAAACAAAGGGACAATGAGGAAAATGCAAAACAATCATTTTCTTTCACATACTACTCACAAGCAGTCATGTTTGCATAATGTTTATTTTATAATAAACCATAAGTTATTATGCATCTCTCTCAGCCAGTGGTGTCTTGGGGGTGCGTTTTCTGTTAATATTGTATAATTGCATTCTGATTCTGATTCCGATTATTACATAAACAAACTTCTCCACTGACTGAGATGCATTTCTGGCAATTTTTAGGTGGATACATGGTAAAACCATTTTTGTAGTGGTGGATTTACGCCGTATACCTGGGTATACCCACCACTACACCTCGGATTTCTGGCTGATTCCTCACCAGAAGTGGCGTATTATGTCCTTTCAATTCAAAATATTCTCTGTTTAGTGGCTTAAACTAGAAGCACATTCTTGCTCTACAGTATAATCTGTTTTGTGATTGTTTTGCTTAGGAGGTCTCCCATTCTGCTCTGCGAGCAGGTTGGCTGCTGTTGCCTTTGTGGTCTCCTGCCTTTGTGATGGACTTCCCCTGGCACAGTGGGAAGGTTTTAGAGCAGCTGAACCATCAACGCCAGCAAGGGCTGCTGTGTGATTGCACCTTTGTGGTGGACGGCGTAGACTTCAAAGCCCACAAGGCCGTGCTGGCTGCCTGCAGTGCCTACTTCCGCACGCTTTTCCTGGACCAGAAGGATGTTGTACACTTGGACATCAGCAATGCCGCAGGTGTGCTTTCTGGTCGCCCCTCCTCCTCCCTTTAAGTGTTTCATTATGAATGACCTCTCTGCAATCCACCATAGGACTGGGGCAGATCCTGGAGTTCATGTACACAGCCAAGTTGTGTCTGGGCCCTCAGAATGTGGAGGACGTGCTGGCTGTAGCCACCTTCCTCCAGATGCAGGAGATCGTCAATGCCTGCTCTGCCTACCGTTCCTTTGCAATCCCAGGGCCATACCAAGCTACCAGTATGTATGGAGCAGATCGCATGCACCTGTGATACATGTTGTGCTACGTTGAATTTGTTGCTGACATTGGAAAAAATAACATGTGCAGTGTTTCTAATATCCATTTATGCATCCATCTTCCAGTTGTTTGTTCAGTATAAGGAGCCCAATTCAGGCAGCACAGGTCACAAGGCAGGAAACACCCTATTCTAGTCTATCACGCTCACACACTTTCAAATGTGCAATTTATAGATGCCAGTTTACCTGCCTGCATGTATTTGGACTGTACAAGGAAACCGTAGTTACCTGTAAGAGACCTACTCAATACAGGTAGAACTTTCAAACTCTAAAAACAGAGGGGAGGCGGAAATCTGCTGACTGAACCAACATGCTGCTTCTGTTTGAACAATGATTGCGCTGTTTATTGGCGTAAGCAACACAACAGGGTAAATAAAGTTTCTTTCTCTACCTACCTAACCTGTGTTGCTGGCCCTATAGTCGTAACCAGGCTATGATCAGAGTCAGAATCATTTTAATGATCACATGACTGTGGTCGGTGGAATTTGCTTTCAGTACTGCATGGCGGGTAAGCTGAAATCAACATTGTCCACAGCAATAAACTTAGGCAGATGTGAACATCACGTTAGACATCAGCATGACATTAGATACTGAAAACTCCGACTAGCGCAATAGACAGTGTTCACAGAATATTCTAATTAGCCCAATAAATAAATATATCAATCAGTGATAAAATTAACATGACTTAATTGCTCTAAAACAGTGTTTCCCAACCCGGTGCTTAGAGACCCCCAGACAGTCCACATTTTGGTCTCTCCCAGCTCCCAACACAACCGTACCTGGTATTTGGTGTTCTGTTT